GGGAAGCACAAGCCAAGCCCACGTCAACCGGGTCACATACACCGCGCCCGCCACGGGCAACGGATTTCCTCGTCGAGGATTTGGAGATGGTCCACTATGAGTCGGACACCCCATTCTTAGGAGGGGAAGAAGAGGAGGTTGATCTGCGCTAACGGCGCGACGTAAGCCCTGCTCAAACTTCGCGAACATCATGTCCGTTTTCCGACCTCCCAACTTCCGGGGGAAGTGGTATCATAACTAATCGCCTCGACGAGGCACAGGAGTAGCAACTAGGGACACTCCTGTACTCGCAATATGGGCTATTCCTCTGGATCTCGCCCCTGGCGATACTGCTGCAGATGATGATAAGCTTCTCGAGTGATGGGTGCAGCCCTGCCGAAAACTTCATTCGCTGTCTACCTTACAGCGAACCCACAAGGACGTGGACGCGCGCGTAGAACGCCACCTTCTATTTCAGTTTGCGCAAAGCCGACTTCTCGCCCTAACACACATTGGATCATCCATCACGCTCCCGCAAGCTCTGTGGCTTCTCGAAGCAGCTCGGACCATTGCTTGAGCTCAGCTCATGGTCCTCCAGCACCCAGGACAACTATCGAGAAGCACAGGGCGACCGACGACGCGGAGCGTCATGACCCTTCTGATCATAAGTGTCAACGACGTCTGGGTTTTTCTGCCGAAGTGGCACCTCAAACCTACAGGAGTTCTCTGAGTCGGAGTATCCCCGCAACTTCACAAGATATTGTGTTAATCCCCATCGACGACGTCGAAACACAAGGCGTTCCACGGGATAGTGGGCACCACCATTTTCGTCGAGAAGCGTCAGCGGCAAACGATGACGACGATCGACGTCCGGTGACTCGCGATGCTAATTGTGCGTTAGATGACAAAGTCCGTCGCTATCGGAACTCCGACGAGCATCTTGCCTAAGTCGCCCACCGCTGCGCGGAATAGCTCAAGAGTTTGGAGTACTTTGCTTTGTGCACCGACTGCCTAACGATGACGATTGTCGCGGAGCAGCTCCTAGCCGTCGAGCAGACAAATGCGTCAATTAAGACGTTCGAAACGGAAAATGTTGCACTCCATGTTCAGAACTAATTGCTGGTTCAGCTTCTGGGTGGCCGAGCGCCTTTGGGTGCCGCCCCGACGCCAACGCTTCCGCATTCACTTGTGCAAAATCCTGGAACGACTCAAGGAAGCCCACATAATACACCGTGTGGGTGCGCATCCTTCTCGGAAGGTCCAGCGTATACGCAAGGTCTTGCTTTGCCACGACCTTTAAAGGTCCGATAATCCGTCTACATAGCTTCGTCTTAAAGACAGCAGAAACTGCGTGTGTAGGAAAGCTTCAGCATTGAATGAAACTAGGTCTTCAACATCAATGTTTTCAACATGTCTCCTCCTTGTTCCATTGTGGCAACTCACCAAGCTGTACGTCTTCTCATGATCATTGAGTGGGAGTGTCGTGTGCCTCATAGGGTGCGGTATTTCAAATTCTCATCATCAAAAACCACAATTCGTGGCGTATTCGTCGAAACGGTGCTATAATACAGTAACCCGTTATTCAACAAATATCGGTGTGATCGTGCGCGCAAACGCACCAACAATTTCTTGTCCGATTTTCCAAAACCCTTGCTCCTGGGATCATATCCGTCATTGACAACGTCACCGTCGTGACATAAGCAAGCTCATAATTCGGTCTGCGTGACAACGCACCAGCCAAAGCATTATGCTTTCCCGGCTTATAGATCACCTCGGATTTATATTCTGCACAGAAGGAGAGCCAGCTGGCCATCTACTGCAAGAGGTGAGGCGACTGAGTCGAACGCATAACCTTGGTAGATTACAAACGGCATTAAGCCAAGCAGGCGAGTCCTGAACTTGACAAGTGCATGCTTCATCGCAAGTAATTCTTTGTCGTAGACTGGGTAGTTCCACTCCGCAGCTTTGAGTTGGCGGGATTCGAACGCGGTCACCCAATCTTGCCCCTCGGCGTCTGCTTTCAGCAGTGCATAGCCGATGGCAAAGTCCGAAGCGTCACAGAAGGACGATCGATGTCTGGCAATACCAGTATTGGTACGTGAAAAAGGCTGTAACGGAGTTAAACCTACACTTGTATGAAAGGGAGGGTCGCACAAGATGGTGTGACCGTACATAGATGTTGGATTACACAAGTTGGTGTAGTCACATAGTGCTGTGGCTTCACAGCCACTACATGGCAGTACTACCAGTAGTAATGCATAGTAATTAGTTTTTACTGCATTGATAATGTATTACTTCATTAATTAGGAGAGCCTAAGAATTGTGGTAATGGCGGCTCATCCGGAACCAAAACAATTAAATTCAGATGCAACTTTGAGCGGAAGTACGTCTTTACCTTGACTAAGGTTTTAAGTACTTGGGGGTAGCGGATTGCGAACCGCTACACTTGACTTATATATTGTATAGAGCGTTAGGTCGGGGACCGAGCGCGGAATGAGCACAAACGAGCGACACTTCGGTGGAAGCTGTGTCTTTCTCCTGGAAGGAGCGAAAGCGTCAGCTTTGTGAGTGTTCTCGCCGCCTAACCAGGCTTGCGTGCGATCGCGTTTCTTTGCTGCCCGACAGGGCAAGACGGAGTTAGTGGACTTTGTCAAAGAGTTGGATACTCTCATTGCCAGGATGGCAGCTGATCCTCTCCCGTGGTGGTCGCAGTGACAGTCTTTATGACGTGGCCAGAATGAATCTGTCTTCTTTTGAAAAAGCGATGAAGGAGGCATTAAATACAAAACTCAACTTCAAATCGGGACGACTTTGCGGGATCTCACACTCTCAGAGCTTGTCGAGCGAGCCTGAGCCAATGAGCATCAGCTATGCTGAGAAAGAGGAGGGAGCTCCGAGCTGCTGTGCAGCATGTAAATACACGACGGTGCTTTGTCCGTGGAGACACCCGTCACCTTCGGACTGGTTGCTCCCTGCGCAAGGCGTGTAAACATTCATCGATTCGATTTCGCGTTCTAACCAGTCTGGTTTGTCTCTGGGAAACGAGAAAACCCAGCAGACGTGAGGCGCCTGACTGGGTAAAAACTGAGCTCTGTCTGTCTCAAAGTGGTAGAGGGCAGCTACGTAATCTTGAACACGGAATGTGTATGGAAGGCGGGCTCGTTGGTCGTAAAGAGGGTCCCTGTGAACCTTGGTGTCAAGTTCCTTGACTCTGATAGCCTGGAACGCTGTCTTGTCTTAGACTTGAATGCAAAGTAAGACCTTATCCTTGATATGGCATGGTTGGAACACCACGACTCATGGATTGATTGGAGGTCGAAACTCTTGGGCACTACGCGCATGTTTCCTGGTGGAGCTTTGGTAAGTCATGAGCCACCTCTCCTAGGTAGCAGAAGCGCTATTGGTGCGGGTACTGGGCCGGAGCGGTCAATGTGGAATATTCAAGTTGTCAAACACCGAAGGCGTATTAGACAAGAATCCTGAGCATGACCCGCGGGCTGAATGTGGAGTGGCATGGTCGGCCAAGGGCCGACGCATCGAGGCTGAGACGCTAGAATAGCGCAAAAACGCTGAATGACGTGGAATTGAAACATTATCACAGTTCAATGGTGACGAAGATCTCATGTGGGGCAAGCATGTGGGTTGTCTTTCTAGGAAGAGATGGACTGAGCGTGATGATTTGTATAAATTTTTTTAGGAAAATAATGGAAGGAAATGTGAGGAATTTGGGCAAACCCCCTCATGATGTGTGGACCATATACTTCTGTGTCTTACTTTAACTGTACAACCTTGTATATTATCTTCCAGTTTGGTGGTTTCAAAACTGGGGGCACTTGTCAGGTTAGGGAGGTTAAAGCTTATTGGAATTAATATTGAATGTCACTTCACCTTTTCGCCTCTTTCCGTAAGTCAATGGTCCCCTGGATGCGAGCATGCGGTGAAACGTGTCAGTTGGCCTAAACCTTCCCCAGTAAGTGTGTGCACGAACGGGCATTTCCCGTCACACTGTGCGATTACCAGGCAAAAACCATTAAATGCGTAAAGGTAGATATCATCTAAAGCATTTGCGCCTAGCACTTTCTAACTAAAATTGCGCTGAAAAAGTTGTAGGTATTCATGCAGTAATCCTTGTGTTCTCTTGATGCCTTCACGATGAGTTTTGGTCCTAATGGGTTGCGGAACCGCTCACTCTGTTTATTCCTCCCATCTATACCCTGTAGCCGAAATAAGCTTCGCGCCTTGAATGGCTCATGAGCAGGGTCAGGATACAATTTTGATTGATATATGCAAACATATATTTTCTTTATGTAATCCTCAAAGTGATCATCAATCCTGTTGTGGTGACATACGTTGAGAGTACAGTGTAACAAGGTCTCAGATTATAACATTCACAGGTCAATAATAGCGTTTAAAAACTACGTTATTACCTGCTGTGTTTTGTCTGCCTCTAGTACTTCTGCGTATCCCAGCTCTCAGCGATAGTGAATGATGCTAAACCCCATCATAATAATGCCTCCGCTATTGACGTCGAAGACTCAATCGAGCTCTGTAGTCTACCTCATTGTCACTCCCCCGATCCAGTTCTTTACTTAAGTTGCTTAAGCTAATTATGACGACTTTGTTGCAAGCGTATCTAAACGGCCCCTGTCTACATCGCGCACATGTCAAAAATATCAGGAAAAGTCAGCGTGCCACCGCAAATTTATATGCAGCTCTCTTTCGGGTCTACTCGCTGGGCAAGTTGTTGTCGCGTATATGATGACACATTTCCTGTTAATTAAAGCCTTGGGTTAAGGCAATAATTAAATTTAGAGTAAGCGGATTGCGATCCGCTAAGCTCGTACTTGTTGTAAGTATAGAACGAATGGTCGGTGACCCAACTTACGCTCCCTCAAAGTGCAAAGCTACGGTAGCCCTGCTGCATCAAATATAAGGTTATCGGTTCGAGTCCGATTATCCAGTGTCAAGTGGATCATGGCTCAAATACAGTACTCCATGGTATTTGGAATAGCAGTGCACATATCCAACCAAAGGTTTTGATAACAGTTACATTTAAGCTCATAAGTCGATTGTTTTCCAACGCTTATAGCAAAACGACCAATTTCGCATGATACTCGTACATTTTACGTATCAAGTCATCAACTTACGACGTTATCATTGAGATATGCGACAATCAAAAGTCAGGGCGACACGAGAGCGTATCCGCCACTGCATCAGGTCAACTCGGCTTACATCTTACCTTAAAGACACACTTGGCAAAGAGGGATATCCATCTTGCCTTTCCCAGGTGATTTTTTGTGCTGACGACGTTGCTAATGGCAATTAATTTTTAATTTAGATAGTGAGCAAAGCGCTTGGAGTTACGCAGGTGCACCTTGGACCTAACGAGGGTAAATCTCAATACGAAGAGCCTTTTGTCATGAATAACGCCGTTTTCTCCAAATCAATATTGTAAATTTTATATGGACGATTACTGCATTCCAGATTTGTGTCCACCATCACGACCATTCTCTCGGGTATAGCAAAGCTGTTATTCCTACAAAACCAGACACACAGTCAACTTTCTAGGACCAAGAACAAGAGCAGCTACGTCTTCCGCC